GAGTCTGTTCTGATTGGCCAACCTACATGTTGTCCCACATGAGAGGCTGGCAGTCCCTGCAGACGAAGGTCCAAGAGCCCAGCTGACTTCTGGGCAGTGCCTGAACCAATAAGACCAAAATAACCACCGACCATCGTGCCGGCTGACTGCAGGAATCTAGCCCAGTCTAGCAGAGGAGAGCCAACTGGTTCAGACTACGGACTCCCCAGCTGGCCCCGGGACCACAGTGCTTGAGCCATGTAGTTTTCAGGAGGCTTGTCACACAACAGCAGCTGAGCCAGCCTTCCCGACACAGATGACATGCTAGTCCAGGACACCTTTCTCCTCACCTCTGCCTGTCAATCATCATCGTTCTCTCTCTGGGTTTCCACATTCATGGTACTAAATCAAAGGAGATCCACATTCTCTCCTCTCAGAAGCCTCCGTGTCTCCCTAGAGTCGGGATCACCTGGATTGCCCACATGCCGTCTCACCTGTGAAGGAAGCGCCATTCCTTCAAGAAACATTCTCTGGTAGACTTAGGAGATGCCCCCTGTCTCTCAAAAAGTTCCTTGAGAGCAAAGCCACAAGCTTGGCACTACTAGTGGGGAACAAAGAACCCCTACTCTCAGCCTTGGGGCTCCTCTCCTTCCATATAGATGCCTGTCCTCCAGGTCCCTCTTCCCTGGGCACCATGCCTTTCTTGATTCATGTCAGGCTCTGGAGAGCACATCTTCTCACTCACCCTGGACTGACTACTACCCTAAAGAGCTTTCCCTGGGTTCCCAGTATGCATTCAGCTGCCAGGTCTCCACTGAGGCTGCTGTAGCTGCTTGTGGTATGATATAGCCACCCTCACAGGCCTAGCACTAAAAGGGTTCAGATGCAGGATAAAGAGGAAGAGCGCTAGAGTTGAGCCATGCCGTTTAACTGCCTACTTATGGCCAAGGCTTCAAAGGTCCTGGCTTCCAGAATGCTCGGAAATTGGAGCTAATGATTTCTGTCTCATTCAGAACAAAATGATTGTGAACACCACAAAGTAGTGGTATGGGCTGGGGATGTAGCTTAATGGTAGAGCCCTGCCTAGAATTCCCCAGTGAGGGGCTGGGATGTGGCTCAGTGGTAGAGCCCCTGCCTAGAATCCCCCAGTGAAGGGCTGAGGTGTGGCTCAGTGGTAGAGCCCCTGCCTAGAATTTCCCAGTGAGGGGCTGGGATGTGGCTCAGTGGTAGAGCTTCTGCCTAGAATTCCCCAGTGAGGGACTGGGGTGTGGCTCAACCATGGATTGCCTGCTTAACAAGTACAAGGACTTAGGTTCAATATTAAATACAAAAATAAATAAACAAACAAATAAATAAATAAATTTTTAAAATAAAACAATGAGATCTATGCATGGTGTAATCTGGGTATGATTCAAGTACCACAAGTTTGAGGTCAGCTTAAACTACATTGCTAGACTCTCAAAGGAAGGAAGGGAGGGAGGGAGGGAGGGAGGGAGGCAAAGCAATAGTGGGTCTGAGTGCTACACTTACCTTGTAGGCCTCGAAGCCTGCTTGGCACACCTTTTACCACATGGCGACTTTGCTCAGCCTTCCAATGCCATCCCCACCCAGGGCCCTCTCTGCTACTATGAAGTTGTGCCTCTACCTTTGCTCTTTCCCCACTGGGCAAGGGAACCCCAACATGTTTGGTGGAGAAAGACTGTATCTCCCTATTTCCTTCAGACATCGATAGGAGGCAAAATTCAAACCACAGGCTGACCCCCTCACAGGTGTAGCAGGCTCTGTGTGAACCTCCACCCAGCACCAGTGCAGTGAACTCCATGTGAACCTCCACCCAGCACCCAGCACCAATGCAGTAGACTCCGTGTGACCCTCCACCACACACCAGTGCAGTGAACTCCATGTGAACCTCCACCCAGCACCCAGCACCAGTGCAGTAGACTCCGTGTGACCCTCCACCACACACCAGTGCAGTGAACTCCATGTGAACCTCCATCCAGCACCAGTGCGGCAGAATCCGTGTGAACCTCCACCCAGCACCAGTGCAGTGAACTCTCTGTGAACCAATGCCACTCAGCACCAGTGCGGTAGATTCGGTGTGAAGCTCCACCCAGCAGAGCCCAGAGGACGCAGCACTGTTCCCAAAGCTGCCAGCCTCAGATGTCAGCCACCCGTAAAACCCTAACTGTGGTCATTAGCAACCAATACAGTTGGTTCAGCCTGCAAATATTAAAATACCAGCCTACCCAAGATGCGACTCTCAGCGCTGCTAGCCCAGATCACAGCCCTGGTTAAGCAAAGTTATCAGCAGCAGCCCCCACGCCACGCCTTCCTGGCCTGTGCAGCTGAGATTTTCAAGTTCAGCTTCCTGGCCTTCTCCCACCTGCTTGGTGTAACCAAAGGACAGTGAGGGGCTGCTTTAGCGAAACGAAAATGTAATTGCCTGACCAGTAAGAACCGCTCCTGTATGTAACGCCAGTAATAGATTTTTTAAGCCTCGGTGCTGACACAATCTTCTACATTCGTGGTTATTATCTGTCCACTTCCCAACCTGAAGAGGTTAGATTGTTTAAAGATTTGTTAGCTATGAGCTGCTTAAAGAAGACCAAGTATAAACTCCCAGCTAATTGAAAAATAGCATTTTATCAGATTCTCCCCCGATATTATTTTGTAATGGTTGTACTTAGAGGACTCTCAATACTTCAGTAAGTGGTGAAATTAAAAAAATCACATCTTCGGGGCTTTACAGAAAATGTGACTGTTCCCAATTTATACTGCTTTTTTAACCATTATTTTCTTATATTTCCCACAATGCCTCAGATCAGAAGCAAGCAGAAACTGAGTGATTACCCCAAAGTGTGCTAGATGAACTGGAAAAAGTCTATTCAAACAAAGCTCATTAGTTCTGATACCTCCAGGGCTATGACAAATTAAGCCGCGGCTGTGTGTGCTCGCAGACAAAAGGGTGATGCCGAAAACTCGGGCTGAGCTAGGCACTGTGTCAATAAATTCCCCTGAAAAAGGTAAAAACTACAATTGGAGCTAAAATGGAATCCCTTTAAGGAGCGTGTACAAAATAGATCATCCGTTCTTTCGTGAGTATATCTATGAACCCGCCTGTGATGAATTATTGCAGCCAAGGAGGTGGCCACTCCGCAGGGGCCGCCTGGCCAGGTGCACAAGGGAGGTGTTGGCTAAATTCACCCTCTTCCGTTTGCAAAGACTTGGCCCTGCCCAGAGGAAAGTATTCCAAACCCAACAGGCAGCGCGTATGCTTCCAAAGCCCAGATATCCAGGGCTCTGACTGCCTGCTGGATCCCAAGTGAGAACCCACGTTATTCCCAAAGCCAGGCAGAGAGCCGCCGGCTTGGAATGGTCTCACGACCTTAAGAGAACCTTGTCTTCTCAGCCAGGAGAGAGTTGTGTGCTATAAACAAGGGCTATATCCTTCCTGGTTTGTGGGTCCGTTTCATAAGGGAACTCCTTCCTAGAAGTGTAAAAAGTATTTGTAAGCAATCTGGCCACAGGGGCTTTTATAAATATTTACTGGATGGATGGATGGATGGATGGATGGATGGATGGATGGATGGACAAGACATTCAGGTAGGACCACATGAGTATACTGGTTAGCCTTGATTGCAGTTTTCATTTGAATAAAAGACACCCGGATCATTAGTAAAGCACACTTCCCAGCATGTTTGGGAGGTTCCACACATGATTGGCATGTAAAACAGCAACTGAAGGTGATCCACTCTGAATGTGGGAGCCAATGGCCAGTAGATTGGAGAGTCGGAGGAAAGTGGTGACTTGGGTGTTTCTGTCTGTCTCTCTGCCTATCTACCTATCTATCGAGATATATCTATCCTCTCTCTCCCTCACTCTTGCCTTCCTGCCCACCTTGAGATGCATGGCATTCCCATTGTGAATTAGTTAATCCCAAACTGTCAAGGTCAGAATAATCCACAAGTCCCCAATCCCTAGAAAACAGGGGCCACTCAAGGACCCATAGACTTTTTGTCCCCGACACTGTTTCCTTTGAGGCACACAAGTATGTTATCAACCCAGTCCCTGGAGGTCTCTGGGGTCACACTCAGGCCTGGTAGCCACAGGGAAAACAAGACAAAGAAGTGGAAGGGGCTTACGGCGTGAGCTTGCAGCAGCGCCAAGTCCACACCACTTTCTCGCTGTCGCAGTCACAGATGGCACACAGCATGCCAACACCAACAGAATAAACTCTTCTACCCTTTGTCTTCTGTGCTGTGTCCCTATCTCTCTCGGTTCCCCTACCCAACCATCTACCCATTTAGCTAGATGTAAAATAAGACCTTGTAATTTTCGTTCATAGCAGTTTGAGGGCCAGAGGGATGTGGCAATATTCCCCTCTGCTGTCCCCTTGGCACTCGGTAGGTCTCAGTGAAACTCTATGTGCCTTTCAGCACACGGTCTCACCGCATCCTTCATGCTTCAAGTTGTCGGCCCTGACAGACATCCGCAGTCACTAAGCCCAGAATCCAAGTGCCTTCCACTGTCCAGACAACTCCAGGGAAAGCATCTGTAGCTAAAGAAAAGCTGCAAGCATGAGTCTGAGTTTTCGCTTTTGTCTTCCTAACATTGAGAGATAGGTGGGAAGAAAATGAGGTGTCACATGTGATCTGAGTTTTCCCATCATCCCCATCAAAACACGTCTGGAGGGTTGAGCGGGTCAGAGACATCATGGTTAGAATGCCACACATCCTCCATAGGATCGTGTCTCTGAAGTGCTGGTACTCCTCTGCTGAGTGCTGTTTTGGAATATGGAACCTTCTAGACATGGGACCAAGGTAGTAGACATAGGGCCAGAGACATGGGGCTCCAGGATTCCTAGGTTGCTTCACTCCAGTATTGTGCCTATGCAAAGAAAAGTGCCTGACACAAGAGTGGTGTGTTCTTTACACATCTGTTTCTTTGATTTAAGAAAAAAGCATGGCCAAGGCAACTTTAATTTGGGCTCATGGTTCCAGAGGCGTAAGAGTTCATCATGAGTGCTCAGTTCGCAGCACAGACACTTAAATTAGAATGATACAGAGATTAGCATTGGCCCTGAGCAAGAATGACACACAAAGTCATGAAGTGTCCCATGTTTTTCCTTTTTTCTCTTAAATCTTGTTTTATTGGGGGGAATGCAGGGGCAGAGGGTAGAGGTGAAGGGACAAGTAAATGAATGGAATCAAGATACATGGTGTAAAAGACACAGAGGATAGATAGATAGATAGATAGATAGATAGATAGATAGATAGATAATAGGTAGATAATAAAATAGTTCATTGTGGCAGGGAAGCATGGCCCCAAGCAGTAGGAGCAGATAGTTGAGAGCTCGAATCTTCAAACCCAAGCAAGCAAGCCGGAAACAGGAAATAAACAGGAGGTGGGCAGGACTATAAACATTAGACATCCCCTGGTTACATGCTTCCTCTTACAAGGCTCAACCTCCCGCAACCTGTCCAGACAGCACCACCAGCCGGAGATGAGGGATGCTTCTCATTCAAACCACCGCAAGAGGGGAAGGTTGCAGAGATAAGCTTCGAGGGGTGTCCAGGGACACCCGGATCTCACCCTATACCTGGCTGCCCACTATCCCACAGAACTCATGCACCACAGGCTGAGAAGGACTCTCAGAAAAGAAATAATCACTGGAGGCTGAGAGAGCCAGATCCCTATCAGCCCCACCCGAAAGCTTCAGAGAATACAGGGTAGCCAGACACCTGGGAGGTAGGCTCAGGCAGGTGGAAGAACACAGGATGAGGAACCGCCAGGCACAGCCCTACCATGGAGCCATGAGAGGTGGCTGGGCAGCAGCATGGGAAGGTGCTCGACTGGCCCCAATGTCTGGGTACCAGCCACTCCCACACCTCAAGGGAACACAGCCGAGGAACCCCAACTAACTGTGCTTCCCCAAAATTGATTAGATTGCTGCCACTAGGCACAGGAGGGTTTGAAGTAACTGTTTGCTTGCAGTGTCGCAATTTTCTTTACATTTCTGTAAGTCTGACTTTGTGAAGTGACCATTCAGTCACCCCCACCACACAGGATGCTGGACAGTGTCACCTCCAAGAGATAGAACCTTCCTTCTCAGGGGTGTTGGAGAAAGGACACAAGATCCAGGTACAGCTAGTGATTCCTGGTACCTAGATACAAAAGTATGGAGGGAGGAGGGGATACCAAGAGCATGACAGTTTGGGGCATGCAGCATTTGCTTTCTGGAACATCTATAGTTTTTGAGGTTGCTAGCTGTCTTTGTTCAAAGAACTGCATGTATGCACGTGCAGGCAGGGGAAAGGGACTGCTACATATACTATTACAAGGGGGAGTTATGCATAACCACAAACCAAATAGGATCCCAGGTTAAATTTTCTCCTAGGCAAATGTTTATAGCACCTAAAGTCAGTGGGTAGCAACACCCTAGAATGGCTTTGGTGACCAACTCAGCTTCCGTCTGGGATGAACAAGGTGTCCCAAGCCCAACCCTCCTCAGTCAGGGGTATGGGAATGGCTGTGATGAACATAGAACAACCTTTCCTTCCAGAAAGCTGAGTCCAAGTATGCTATAGGCCAAAGGCATCTGACAGAGTGCTTCCCACCATCATGCCCGGGACTAGGGCAGTGCCACATCCACCCGGTAAAATTTCCTTAAGTTGGCATTCATTTCTTGAATGTTTCAAAGCAAAATTTTACTTGGAAACCACATATTTCACTGTGTTCATGGATTCTGTACTTTTTAAAACTTCTTCAGGACCTGTGTGCTGGCACACCTTTAATCCCAGTACTCAGGAGGCAGAGGCAGGCAGATGTCTGGGTTCTCAGTCAGTCTGGTCTACAGAGGGAGTTCTAGGTCAGCCAGCGCTGCTCAGAGAAACCCTGCACAGAGAAATAATAATATTATCATCATCATCATCATTATTATTCACCAGGCAAAACAAGTTCACCTGGCTACAATGTGTTGTTAAACTCTGGAATGCCCCCTTCCCCATTAGACTTGTATTTTGATAACTTGGTGTTGGCTTGGGCTACTATTTTGAAGGCTGTGAAACTTGTAGAGGCGATAGCCTGACAAATAGAAGTAGGTTCCTAGGGGAGGGTCCTTGAAGATATACCAGCCCCTGGTTCTGAAACAGACAGGCATGGGAGACAGTTTGGGGCTATGCATCCCCTCTAGTAATAATGCCTTTACCTACATGTTCACACACTCCCTTCTCCAGACAATGAACCTAGCAAGCCCAAAGCCCATCCCATCCCCACGACCTGTATCAGGTGCCCCAAACTACCACCTCTGAACAACAGTATAATTTTCTTCTTGTCCTGGCAACAATTAAATTTAGAGTTTCTATTCAAGTGTGTTCTCTATGTATCCAGGTATGAAGAACAGAATGAAGGGACGATCCGCCCTGAACTGGTTGTGGGTGCATATGAATGAGACATAACTATCTCCTCTGGCAACCGTTTGTGGAGAATCCCTTATTTAGCACATTATGCCTGTGCATAACTGGACATGCATATGACTAAAGTCAGAAGCATCATGGGAAGGGACATGCATAGAAGGAAAAAATGAATATATGATCTAATCTATCTGTCAAAATGGAGCCCAAACTATAGTAACCAGCCCCTCTTTCTTTTGAACCCCACAAAAGGAAGCCCCAAAAGGTAGTCGAGGCCCTTCTGCGCTCTCTGTGCTGAAGCCTGCTGTCAATTCTGACATCCTCTTTCACCTGTACTGCAGTTTTGCACTGAGCGAAGCCACCTTGTGTCCGTGAGCCCTTATGTTCAGTCCTTTGACGGAGAGGCCAACAACCTGGAAACGCCAGGCTCAGACTCCAACCACACGTCACAGTTCCAGCCACGACTCCAGTCCTGGTCCATGCGGACAAACCTTGGCCACACATTTCCGCCACCAGACAGGTGCTCGGCTATGCTGTCCCTGCTATGATAGACTGAGACCTCCGAAACCATGAGCCACGATAAAGTCTTTCCCTCCACGGCTTGTTTTAGTCGGCTGTTGTCACTGTGCTGAGAAATAAGACACACACAGAAACTGTCCACCTACTAGGCACAAGGAAGCCCACCTACTAGGCACAAAGCAGCCCACCTACTAGGCACAAGGCAGCCCACCTACTAGGCACAAGGTACACCACCTACTAAGCACAAGGTAGCCCACCTACTAGGCACAAAACAACCCACCTACTAATCACAAGGCAGCCCACCTACTAGGCACAAGGCATCCCACCTACTAGGCACAAGCCAACCCGCCTACTAAGCACAAGACACCTTGCTATCATTCCACATTTAAGAAATCCATAACCTGTCCCTCCTTTCATAAGCAAAGAGCTTTCTCTCAGAGATACATCCTGAGTGGTCACCACAGAGCCTAGACCAAATCATGTAGTTTGTAGATGGAAGGAAAAGAAAGAAAGGAATGAAGAAGGGGTGGGAGGGAGACATTTTGACACCATCGTGGCTATATCAACCAAGTATTATGAAAATGTGGGGTAAGGAACTGCTGTATGGAGCAGGTGGTCCTTTCATCGGGTCATTCCCAGAGGGCAGGGCACCATTGGGGCACCAACATCATCTCCCAATGGCTACTCAACTTCCAGGGGTCAGGATTGCCCTTGCCATTCAAGGAGCAAGATGAATGATTGAGTTAGCCTTCATTTCTTAGCATCTGGTTGGCCTGTGATCCACGGCACTTGAGGTGGGCATCCTAGTCTCTAGGTGCTCAGAAGACGAATGTCACTTTGGGTGTAGCTGTGTATATAACTGGCAGTGAGAGAACAGATTCTCTTTATTTTTTCAAAGGATTTCATTTGGTTTTGTTTTATGTGTTAATGTTCACGTGTGTGTGTGTGTGTGTGTGTGTGTGTGTGTGTGTGTGTAAATGCACCATGTGCATGCAGTGCCCAAGGAAGACAGAGAGGATGTCAGATCCCCTGGAACTGGAGTTACAGATGGCTGTGAGCCACCATGTGGGTGGTGGGAACTGAACCTGGGTCTTCTGTAAGAGCAGAAAGTGCTCTTAACCACTGAGCCCTCTCTCCACCTGCCTCCTTTTTTTAACTGTAGAGCTTGGGATTGAAGCCAGGACTCCACACATGCTAAACACACCCTCTCTCACTAACCAACATTCCTACCACTGTTACTTTCTCCTTTTGAGATAGAATCATGTACACAGTCTGCCTTGAACACAATCTACAGCCCAGGCTATTCTGCAAGTTGCTATGTAGCCCAGAAAATATTTCTGCCTCAGTCCTGAGAAGCAGGAATTACAGGCCGATGGTACCCAGGTCAGTGAGGATAGGTTTCTGAAACAGAACCTTCAGAACCTTCTAGCGAGGTCAAGTGGAAATACTCGAGGCAGGTGGGAAACAGCTTCGTGACCACATGGCTAAGGCATAGGGTGCTTTGTACCTGTAAAGAGGTCTGTTGCAGGTTGAGCCACTAAACACGCTGGGTGAGAACATACTCTGAGAATACTGATGGTACACTTCCCACAGGCCGGGCACCAGATGGCAAAGCCACCAAACTGTACAAGACAGGCAGAGACCCTGCCTCACAGATATGATGACACTAACAGAGGAGAGAGCCACCCAGGCATGGGAGCTATGGAGAAATACAACCTCATGATGTCATACAGTGACAGCAAGGGCCTTGGGAGCCATGAGATCAGAGAGTCCAGACCCAAATGACAAAGTGTATCGCAAGCAGAGAGAGCAGGCCTAAGTGAGGAAAACAGAGAAATATCAGCATTTGAGAACTTCAGGAGACGGACAGGAGGTCAGGGGTCACACGAGGAGCTTGATGGGGCAGCTAAGGTGAAATGCGCAGGTCATTTGGACCAACTTCCTACAGGCTCAAAGTGACGCACCATCCTTCTGTGCCCATTTTCCCTTCACTGCCAGCATGGCTCTGGGTGTCTCTGGGTAGCACTAGCTGTGGTCACTTGAGAAGTGTTTTCCTTATACAAGCTCAGAGGTGACAAGACTCTGGCACTATGACCAGTCAAAGTCCTGGGATCCCTGTCAACATCACGAGTATCGGCTGTTTGTCCTGCTCGGCCCACGACTCATCTTCTCTATACCCATACAACACTGGCA